TGAACTTATGTAATCTACATCTGCTGAATCATTTAATTTACTTTGACCAATTATATTTATTTAATCTATACTAATCCAACATTTCACGAATGACAACTTATTATAACATTTCTTGATCAACTAATAGTCAGTCACGTTAAAAATCAGTTTCACCTTCCACATCGACAGGAAGCTCTAACGTCTCAAGCTTTCGCCTCTGGCACACGCAACGTGGGTCACTAGTGACCCACGCGGCGCCAAACCCGTTAACCCGCGCGCCCTGCAACCCCGAGGTCCGTAGGTTAATAGAGACGTTCGACGCGGAACGGATGATTAGTTTCGAGAGCGGAGAATCCGCTTAGCAACAACAGCCTCGAAGGAATCGATAATGAGCGGAAGTTTCGTTCGGATTTCGCCGTACCTACGGACGGTCACGGTTTTCCGTGGTAAACAGAATACCCTGTAATCGGTGATACAACCCAAATGATAGTAATTCCGCATAAACACACGTGTCAAAAGGTGTACAATCGAGATTTCTCGGAACGAAGATTCATATCCGAAAAATGTACCAAGTTTCAATGATAATATATTGTCTCCGATATTGTCTCGGAAAGCTAATAAGGTTCTATAAAAAAAAAAAAAGGGTTCTTTAAAAAAATTTTATATTCTGTAGTTTGACTCACGATTTTTTCACGCAGAATCGTATGGTTTTGAGTTGTACCGTCAGTTTCAGGTGGCTTTACAGACTGTCTGGGCTACGGAAGAGGGGAGGGAGCGGTGCGGCGGAAAAGTTATTTACATATATATTAGAGGTAGGAAAAGATAGAACAGAAGAGAGGGTCGATTTTCCGTTGAAATATTGGCCGCGGTAACGAATTGTTTCCCGTTTATTTGGTAAACACGGACTCGAGTCGTGGGATTAATGCTCGATTCGAAAACGGCGCGAACGTACCGTGATAAATCATAGAACGTCCAATTCCCACTTTCAAAATACTAATTAACATCCGTACATTCCGTATCAATATTTCCGCGAACGTAAAATTAAATATTAATAAAGCTTTCTGTCTCCAATATATTAACGACACTTTTCTTTTCCTCACGTACAATCGAATTCTGTTCAATAAGTGTTGTATACAAACTGAAAAAAAAAAAAACTGTGAAAGAAGAAAAATCTTACTCGGCAAATCCCAGATGTAAAAGAAGCTTGGAAGAAAATTCTCGATCGATACCATTTGCTCGTTGTTTCTCTGTTGTTACCTTCGTCGGGTGGGGTCGGTTCGATTATTTTTGGTCTGTAAATAACCGACGTCGAAATCCATTGGAAACGTAGCCGGTCCGATTTGTCGCGGGTTTCGACGGGACCCGACGATTAGCAAAGTTACGGGACCCCGGTAAATAGCGCGACCAATTCGATGTTTATAGCTTGACCGTGTGTATACGCGTTGTTTATTAACGGCAGGAACAGGCAAAATTTCGCCCGCGTTAATATTTTCTCTTATCCATTTCTTTGGTCTATGGTATCGCCGATACAGGGTGATTCGGAAACGATACAACTGAAAAGTCCCATATTTTATAAGATCATCACTCACCTCTAAACAGATTTAACACAGTATCCCGGAAACGATTTTTCCCTTCTCCCGTTTCGACTGTCAGAGAATCTTCGTATTCATCCCACCCCTTATGAATCACCCTGTAGACACAAACGTTCTAAAAGCTTCTTCGCCCGAAGACCCAGCGCGCACGAGTTGACCGGACATATGACATTGATGCGAATTAAACAAACGAATTTTTTAGGAACTCAACGCTTTTTATTAATAACAGTTCGAGATTCAACATTGAACGTGTTTTCGTGTTCTCTTCTCGTATCTTTTTTTTTTTCTTTTAATCCTATGCGAAAATGCCCGTGTATCATATAAAGTTATAAATATTATAAATTAATCGACGGTGCACAATCCCCGGTTCGGCTCGAGGCGGCCCGACGAACCGACACACACCAGGAGAGCCCATCATCGTCTTCGTCGTGTGTTCCCGTCGCGTCTCGTAACGACGTTATTCTTTTGTTTCTTTTTTTCCTTTCCTATCTAACCGTCATCGAGCGCGGCGGACGCGTTGCAAGACGCCAAATCGTCGCCATATTGCCGCCGTCGCTTCCGGGTTCTCTTTCGTCGGAGGATCGGGGTGTTCGCGCGCTCCCGATGGACCAGGACTTGTTTCTCGTAGGCTTTTTTTTTCCCCTCGAAAATTTCTCGTGTCTCTACGAGTCTGTTTAAACGTCGGCGAAACGGTCACGATCGACTCGAGGCACTCTACGATTACTTTCTCCGTGACTCTCGGAGTATAAAAAAAAAAAAAAAAAAAAAAAAAAAAAAAAAACCAACAACACCAGCAGGTATGCTTGTTGCTCTCCCGTTTCTGCGTATTCTTTTCTTTGTTTTCGTTTGTTTGGTTGGTCCCTAATACTCTCTCTTTCTCTCTTTCTACAACAATTTCTCGTCACTTGCTCATCTATATATTACTCTCTGTCTCTCTCTGTCTCTCTCTCAATCTCTCTTTATCTTCCAGTTTCGTTCGCGAAATTGTTTGTGTCATATAAAAAAAAAAAGAAGAAAAGAAGGCAGATATTTTTTCAATCCCGAAAAGGAAAAACAATGTGAGAAGGGAACGGAACAACATACGGCGACCTCTCTAGTTTCTTTTAATCCTTGATTCCCTCAATGCATTTGTTGTTTTTTTCCCTTCTATTACACGGTGTTTCACATTGATCGACGTGAGAATTAGAGCACCTGTGTCTCCCTCGTTCCCTTTACTCCCTAGCAAGCTCTATCTCACTTTTTTTTGGTATTTTTTTTTGTATCGTTTTCCATATTTTAGAGTATGTTCCGTGGCCCCAATATTTTACAAGACAATAATAACGCTCCACCCGATGAGAATTTTTCTTTAAAAAAAACAAAACAAAACGATTAATCGTACTCTAATTCCGCGCGACACGTCGCGTATATTCTATCTTCCTCTCACTCTCACGCACGCCCTATGACTGTCTCACTTCTCTTTCTCTCTGTTTGTCTCTTTTTCCCTGCCTCACTCACTCTCACTCTCTCTCTCTCTCTCTCTTTCTCTCGAGCGCGAGTATAATTATTAATACACTTACGACAAGCGAAACTCCGAATCGGAATTTATTCGTGCACACTTTCGGCGAACGGTCGAGGATATATGTATGTATCTCGTCTCTATATATTTTCTCGTCTATTTCTCCTTCATTACCACTGTACACGCGTTCACTCGGTCTATCGCCTATCGGGAGTCCCATCGAACGTTCCCCTCCCCCTCTGTCCTTTCCTCTCTTTCTCTTTTAGATACAATAGTTTTGATGAGACGAACCGTGGATTCCTACTCCTTTCTGTGTGTGTTTTCATTTATCTATGGAATGTATCACTATTTGGAAGATTAATCGCGGAGCCCGTCCTGGCGACGATGAACTCCAGCTCTGCTCCAATTACACACGATTTTTCTCTATATCGCAGTTATCGATCGAACAAATATAAACGAGAAATTTTTGTTCCCCTTCAATGAACACTTTCGAAAATCAAAAAGAAACTGTGAGCGATTGTTCAAAGTCACTGACTACATCTCCATCCCCCACTAGTGTCGCTCTGCTCCGCCCACTTTTCCACCTCTCTCGGTGTACGATCGTTGGCGCATGCGCTTTGTCCGTCAAGTGCAGTCACGAGTTCGAGCGCGGCAAAAGTGGGGAGGGTGAGACGACCTTGAACGGCCAACCGTGTTCGTCTACGACCTTTTATTAAAAGTCTCTCGATAAGATATCACCGTATTGGCTTTAATTAATAGTTTCAAATGTTTTCCTCAAGAATTTCCAGCGATTGAAAAAGGATCTCGGTGAACAGAACGGATTCATCGCGACCACGAACGAACGCGTCCGCACACCTCACCGTGATTATTTGTGTGCAACTTCGACGCGGCGACAGAGCACATTCTTGGAACTAAACTGAATAAATACGCTCGATCGAGGAAATGTGCTTTATCGCCGTACACGTATTCGCTTCCACGTGTCCTCATTCTCTCCTTCTATTCACACAATCTCCTCTCCTTCTTGCTCCCTCTATCATGCTGTATATCTCTATTTCTCAACCCATTTGCTCGTTTCGCGTATCAACCGTTATCGTCAATTACTATTATCATTAATAATATTCATCTATATCATAGGGGTTCTTAATTTTACTCGGCTAAACTTTGCGAACTTATCGTCTCGAAATTCTTCGTCTAACTTGTATATCTATTTACAGTCAAGATTTTTCATTTATCCCCGGGGTAGCAACGCTAACACCGCGTCCTTAGGAAGGGTTCACACGCACACACATACACACACACATACACACACGTTCTCTTTCGTTCTCTCTTCCTATCTCCCTTTCTCACCTCATCGTGAAACACGAACCCTAAATGGTGACCGATCGATCGGGCCGAAACCACGGCCCGCCACAGGCCACAAATTTCATCGAATCCGAACGTATATATATATATCTCATAATTGACTTTCTGTTAATTGTAGATACGCCGTCGCGGCATCATTAAATACACTACGTTCTAGCCATTATTAATAACACATGTGTTGAATCAAACCTTCCTGGAGGGTGCGCAACCGGTCGAGACCCGGAATCCGTTCGAAAGCAACAGCAACGCCGATCTTCTCTCGTTTCTAAACGCTCCCATATACGATACGATTTTTCGTACAACAATTCGTACGACAAGTTGCACAGAGAATTTTTAAAAATGTTGTAACTGTCGTTCAGACGATCGAAACGAAGTTGAACGATCAGTTCTATGACAAATCGTATCGTCTATAGGGCGTTCAACAAACGTCGAAACACGGGGTACGACCAAGCCCCCGTTTATCGTCCAGAGAAGATCAGAAAAAAAAAAGAAAGAAAAAACACGTTTCTCTTGCCGATGTCTTCGCGGATGCCCCGCGTGAAAAATCAAGAGTGTTACGTGTGTACGCGTGTTTGTCGTTTCGCGCGGAGTGCCCGTCGAAGTCACCGCGCGCGCGCAGTGTCGTCGACGTGTGCACTCGAGAAATCGATCGCGATCCTCCTCTGGGCCGGCTGCTGCCTCGGAGACTCGTCAAGCAGTCGGAGGATTCCGAAAAGGAAAACAAAAAATAGATCAGGAAAATAGACGAACGGGATGGATCACCGTTTCGTAAAAAAGATCGCGACGCGAGAGTATCAGGATGTTCGTGGCGTGTTTCAGATGGAGGGGGGAGGGGGGCTCTTGATTTCCCACGCTGTCGACCACGTGCGCTGTCCTCGGATCCACGTTCCACGATCAGTTTCACCGTACAAGAAATTCAATTTTTTTTTTTTTTTACCTAAAAACGTGATTGCCTAGAAAGAAGAGTCGTCGCCAGTCCCGTGAGAGAACTAGCTGCCGAAAATGCACTACGGCCGGTCCCGTGGACACGCGCGTAAACGTCGAACCGGTGCGTCGACCCAAAACACCCCCCTTCCCCCACCCCGAAAAAAAATGTCATTCGACGTTGCAACCTGGTGAACGCGACCACCCACGGGCTCGTCGCACACGTTCTCGCCCTGGTGCCGGAGAAACGAGCGTCGAACGACAGAGGGGAAACTTTTTCCTATTCGATACTATATTACACGGAGTCGTCCGGTGACGCGTTTGGTTCTCTCCCCGGTTCGACTGTGATCACCCCTACACTGCTGGACACACCGAATAGAAGAATCGATAACGAGCATCAGAACTTTTCTTGGAGTCCCGATCGTCTCTGGAAATCTCTTCTTCTTGGTATAATGTACATCTTTGAATATTCGTCTGCTTCGATCGTCCTCTTTCTTGTTTAACTACCCTGCGATCGATCCCAGTATAACGATTCCTGGTTTCGTTCGGCGATCATTGTCGGGCGGCGTCATTGCCTCGTTTCGTTTACTCCCTGAATTACACGTTCCACATACGCACACACGCACACGCACAGGTGTGGTCATCGATCCTATGATTCGATGGAGGAACTGTGGAAACCGTGAATCCACGACACGACGGGAGTTCGCGACGGCCCGTTAAGCTGGATAGCGTCTAGGGGATGCTCCCATGGGGGACGATCGATCGTTTGTAGGATCGATCGATCGTACCCAGGGTTTGTGTTAGCGCGATCGTGTCTCGACCGGCCTGGTTAAGATCCGATTCCCGAATGGACCGCGATAGGCGTGGCCTTACAGAATATCGAGGTTGAAGCTCGCCGTGGAGTCGAGGGAGTTCAAGAGCTCCTGGGCGCTGAAGTTCGACGTGTCCCCGGTCGGAAGATTCTCCAGAAACTCGAGGCTGAAGTCCGCCGCGGCCACGGACGGGTCCGTAGCGGTCACGGGTGGTTGTTGGTGTTGCTGTTGTTGCTGTTGCGGCAGGCTACGAACACCTGGACTGCCGGCGCCGTATTGTTGGTGCGGGTGCAACGGGGAACCTGGAAAAGGAACGATTAACGTGACTCTGGATTTTTCGTCTGATTCACAATTAGGTCAAATGATCCTGATGTTAAATGATTAGAAAGAATACAGAGTGTTCCACGAATATATACTAACGACTAAAAGTACCGGACTAGATCTGATTATTATTGAATGAAGTGAGAAATATTATTGTATTGAGATTTGATAAAAGTAATGCGTTAAAACTAATTGGAAATTATTTGTGTATGTACTTATGCTGTAATGTTTATTATATTGCAACTGAATCATGAGTTATTGTTACATCAGTCGTTAACTCTGGTCCCATTGTTTTGGACGGTGTGTATAGATAGAAACTTGGGGGATTGATACGTTGCTTGCTTTGGGAATTTTTTGTACAGTATCTTGTTAGCTATAGAAGAATGTTTATTAACTGGAAGCTGATTGTTAGATTGTGTAAAGAGTTAGATATAACTTTGACGATTAAATAGTCAGCGTTGTTCAATGTTAGTCATTTGATGCGAGTATTTTAGAAAATTTTGTATTGATCTGTGATCACCATTAGGACACCATTGAGAAGACATCAGTCTTGGCTGATTACTATTGTATCAGAGTCAAAGTGGTGTGGAAGTTGAGACGCCATATACAGGTATGGTAAAAGTAAACAGTGAGGAAAATCGATGCAAATAAGAGAAAGTGCAGGAAATTTATGAGGCTTTGCAACCACCACCGAGAAACTAATCCCTTTATCGAGCCATTAATCACGTAAGTTCTCTACCTATATAGGTTTGTACACCTTCTTATCAACACCTAGAATCAATTCCCCAGGAAACATCGAAACACTCTGCTTAACGTAGTAACAAGGTGGTGTAATGAAGTAACTTTGTCGTTTAATAGATATTCCAATCATTTAAGACTATTAGCACACATAAACTTTTAAATCTTTCAATTTCTCATTATCCCTGAATTAAACATCGAGACAGTGAACATCACTGACACAATGGATCTAGAAATTCTTTAAACACGAAAAAAATTCAGGTGAAAATTGAGTATCATCGTGTACATTTATAATCTTTATGTTCATAGTTCCGTTTAATTCGATTCGAATTCGAGGATACTGGGGCAAGTGGAATGACTGTAGGCCGAGACTTACCGGTGCCGGTACTGCTGACAGAGTTGACTGACGAGGACTGCGTCATCTGCATCTGCAGCGACATCTGATTATTACTCTGCTGCATGGCCAACGCCTGCTGCTGGTGTTGCTGCGACAGTAGCTGCTGCATCTGAGAGCTGTTCCCCATACCGGAGCCAGCGATACCTCCACTCTGAGAGCGAATCAGCTGTTGATGCTGCATCTGCGCGGCGTTCATCTGCATTCCGCCCGTACCGCCCATTCCGAATCCACCTGCAAAACCAACAGAAAGGGAAACGATTTAATTTGATTTAATATCTAATCCTCAGGGTTCAATCCTCACCCCTGCGGCATCTTTATGAGACGGTCGAACGATTCACCGAATGATTTAACTTGAAATTTAATATTATTGCAATCTTCCGTATAATTTCCTACCCTTCTTCCACTTTACTGTATAAGTACTACGACTTGATTTGAAAGATTCTGGAGGTGTCACGCAACAATTGGATTAACGCGTGAAAATTGGGACAATTAGAATGTACATTTTCATTCTAATTGATTGACGAGGACCACGTTGGACACTGGATCTACATTAGATCACTAAAAAACAGTTATCCAATGAAATAAAAAACTGTGCCCTATAAACGAATCACTACCTGATTATTACAAATCATTTCCTACGTAACAGAAATTGAAAGCCTCCAGTTCATTCATAATATACACTTCCTACTAATTAACACAACAACGGACTATCCAAAAATCATTTCATTTACAAATCCGACAAACAAGACACACGATCACAGGTGATCGTTCCAATGTCGCATATTGTAACGACCAAATCGTCAATTATTGGCAGGGAATCGTCCCGGCTGTACAATTACAGGCCTAACACACGTCTACGAGCGCTTACCTTGATGACCTTGCTGGTTGAATTGCGATCGCATCTGCGCCTGAAAGCCCTGCTGCTGCATCAGAACGTGTCGCCACTCCTGCTGAGCGCCACGACCCGCGATGCTATTCCCAAGGCCGTCGGGCGGGCCGACACTGACGTTCGGCGGCCGTTGATTGTTAGTCCTAGGATAACCGAGACGTTGATGCATCTGATGCATTCCGCCGATGGCGGCCATACCGCCGCCGCCCATGTACATGTTGCCACCAGCCGCGTGCAACGCCTGCTGCTGTTGCTGCTGCGCCATTTGCGGCCTCATCATCGGACCTGAGATGAACCAAAAACAAGGCGATGACGTTAGTATAATTTATCAGAGAAAAGTAGAGTACAATGGAATTCCGTTTATGGGAATATAATGGAGGATAAAAGGATACGGTTAACTTTGGATTTACATGGTGACTTGGTGATTTGTTCACGTGTTCTGAAGACGATGTGCAATTGGAAAAAATTGTTGTGCTAATTATGCTGTTACAACGACGGTATTTCTTATCACGCAAAGTACTTGGAATTTTTTTTTCTTAATCCAATAAGATATTTTATAGAAGAAAGGAGTTGCTACACTTGCTTTTGCTACATAAACTATTTGGACAAGTCCTAAGTTTAGAAGCTTCCAATACTGTGACTATTATTAGTAGTCGATCAGATGCCTGATTAAATTAACTACCATTTCTTGGTCTACACCGAAATTACTATTCTTTACTATTTTTTGTGCTGGTCAGACACTCATACAAATTCCGAAGTAGAGCAGAAGGTTACCTGCACACTGAGGTTTCTCGTAATAAATAAACAACTGGTTTGTAAACTTACTATAGTCATATATAAAGAAAATTAATAATTATTTCTACAACATAATCTAAGGATCTACAAAGCTATTCACCCACTGTAGAATCGGAGTACAAGATTTGTCAGATATTACATCGTATAACTCCATATTTTCAGGATTCCCAAAGAAAAGATTGAAATTGCCCCTGTTTCTCCGTGTTTGCAGGAGATCCCTGGCACGCTCCCGACAGCCACGGCACAGGATTCAACCGTGCAGGATAGCCGATCGATCGCCGGGAAGGCGTCGTTTCATTCAGGCTAACCAGATACGCAAGTAGATACGCGTATTGCGGTGGATACGTAGCGGCAGTAACGCTCTGTGGATTTTCGTTTGGATAGAATCTTATGAAAGTAGCTCCGGGCAGATCGATAGGAGGTTCTCGTACGCGGCCACGGTGTATAAGGATATTTACGAGGCCCCAGGCCCCCCTACCTCCATGTTCCGCGTCCCGTTCGCGTTCTTTCTTTCTGATCTGGAGCGGATCCAGCCGAGAGATCGGGTTCGTTTCCCTCTGATACTTGTCTAACCAATGGTTAAGAAGTGTGTGAACATCGCTCGAATGGACCACCTCGAGTCCAATATTTTTCCACGATTATTCGTAGTTTGTTTTTACTTTTTTTTTTTCTTCACAGAACGTGTGTCGATTCGGACTTACGGATTCTCCGTGTGATCTAGTAATCGCGATTATTCTCGAGGAAAATATCCCGAGGGAGATTCTACACTCTCAGTTCCGGGTAAATATATTTCTTAGGGATCGATAAACGAACTCTGATAGACGTTGTGCTGATAAAGGCTCGATACGAGTGTCACTTAGCATGAAATTCATAAAGTTTAGATATCCTAGGGCTGAATTAGATTTGTGAATTTTACTGGAAAATGTGAGTGATAAAGAGTAACTGAGGAGAGTGAGAGAACTGTAGAATAAAGAGATTAACCCTTAAGGACACTGATTGTGAATACGTAATTTTATGTTTCGTAAGTTTAAAAGGCAGCTGCAGGATTTTTGTTTGCCTTTTTATTTAATGGTGTTCCATTTTTCATTGCAGATAATAAAGATGAAAGATACTATTTTTCGAGGAAAAAAGATTTAGAGAAGTAGAATACTTTTCCGTATCTGTGACGTTTGGAATACACCGCTCGTGTCGTTGAAAGTTAAGAGTTGTAAACACCTCAGTCACTGGGGTGTCACAATTTCGATTCGTCTGTGAAAGGTACATAACTAGAAGTAGATTAAATGGTAAAAATTGCAAGATTAAACGTAGATTAGTGACAAATGCACGAGATTTGCTTTCTTAGAAATTTGTCCGCGATATCTTAAGTACATCGGAATGTCGTTTACCGATTATCGGTTCGTCAACCGATAAAGGAAAGCGTGGAAAATCGTCGTAGAAAATCAACGCCGTTATCGACGACCACGCGCGTGGAAATAGCGTGCAGCGTTTCGATGGAAGATGAAAGAATCGATAGCAGAGTCGGGTTCTCATTAGCCTGAGTGCCTTCCGACTCCGGGGGTAGCCCATATGAAAATGATGGACCGTCGCCACTTTCAGCGTAAAAACTGAAACAACGTAGTGGACCTGGTTGATTTACACATTTTCGAAAATATGGACGAGTCCGTTTAGCCTCTGTGTTTTCGAACGTGAATATGTAATCGACTTGTCTACAGAAAGATCAGACTACATTAACAATTAAAAGGATTATCCGTATTTGGAAAATTCTCAAATATATTATACAATGTTCCTTATACAGTAAATCATCGATGAGTGTTCGAAGGCTCTTTGGCACTCAGTGTTCAGAGATCCCCAGATATATAGCTCTCTTTTTAATGAGCTTTAGCACAGTAATGGAGCTTGGAATTCTGAAGCCAATGATATCAGTTTCAGCCACATATAACCATTAGTTTATGAAATATTTAACGTTCACTGCCGAGAAGTCTTCAAACACTCATCGATGATTTACTGTAATCACTTCTAGAATGCAGATTTGATGCATTTAAAGCGTGTACGATTGCTTCAAACTGAGTATACAAAAATCTTTAATAAAATTTAATGTGGTCTCCGTTTTTTTTTTTTTTAGAACCTAAAGGAGTGCTTAATACAGTAAAGAAACCTTTACTCGATGCCTGTTTTTGTACAATGAGCAAGGAAGATCTATATTTGCATAAAGATCCGTTGTCTAGTGATTTCATTTTTCATGAATTCAAAATCTGTCTAAATCGACTTCAGAACACGACTTCGATTTCTCCTACGATATTACCATAATTGCACCACCACGATCGCACTATCTACGATTCCCACTGATTTCGTTATCCATTTACCAGTACGTAAAGTGATTCGTCGATCTCACGTCTTCCATGTACATGAAACTTAAGAAGTCTTCCGTTCGCGTTAGAATCGATAATCCAACATATCATTCGGAATCGGTCACCGGTAGCCGATTAGTTATTACTAGGTTGAGCGAAAATAGAGGCGGCGAGACCCGTTATCATGAAAATTCTATGAGTTCCCCTCACCCTCGATTACAATTTCAATTTTCCACAAGATGTTTTACATATGTATAAAGGAATTCGGATTAAGGAGATCGAGCATGTCGTAGGGGGCCCCGATGGTATCGGTACTAACCTGAAGGTGGCATAGGCTGTTGCGTAACCCTGCGCATAGGCCCGGTATTGGGAAACCTCGCCTGCTGACCCATGCCGATACCGGCGTGCATCATTTGGGCCTGCGCGGCCGCTTTGTATTCCGGTGGCGGCGGTCTCACGCCTCCCATTCCACCGGCCATGTGCTGTTGCTGTTGCATCACCTGGAAAAAGAAAACAATGGATTTCAATTACGCCGAATCGAGCGTCTCCGAGCGTTTCTTAAATGCTAATTCGCGTAAAGTCCGGCCAAGCGTTTCTTCGAGTACAGCGTACTTGGAGTTGGTATTGTCTTTACTTAAATTTTATTGTAAGAAAATTTATTTGAAGAATCTAGAGGCAGCGAAATGTAATTAGAAAATTCACCGAATTAAAAACGATCATCGACGATAGAATCGTGAAATACTGGATGAATGATCTTGTACGGCTTCATTAGAAAATCCTTCTGTCTTAGTAATACATTCTCTGTGTATTGTGCGTTATATTATTGATTATTATAACCATCAATTCCCTGTCATCTCCATCTAATCGCAAGGATCAATTCTCTAATTACCGTGAGAATGAATCCTCGCGGAGGGTTACATATTGTCTGTTAATTATCTTCTAAGATGAAATCCCGAGGGTTCTAAAGGTCCCAAACGGGGTCCCCATTAAAGTCACAATCAATACCAACCTAACCAGCCCGATCCACATCATCAATCCTTTCTCTGTTTATTCATCCAAGCATCAAACATCGAAAAACGTGCATTCATCGATCAGTTAATTCTCATCTCCGTCTAATCTCGACCTATCAACTTCCTTTCTAATTACCGTGAGAACGTGTAGCATAAACTCTCTCTTATCAAACCGACCAAACTAGATCATACATCAGATATCCACTACTATATTCCAGTCAAGGAATCCGATCATGCCAACGAGTACGTGATCACCGAGGGATCCTTTCCCTCTCTGGCACGGATCAATGAGAAAACTGCGCCCCGCGAAATTGCTACGTGTCGATCCAGAGGATGGCCAGCTTCCTCCGTTCACCAGGGAAAAGGAGGAGGGGGGCCCCGCGAGAGCAACAGGGCGTCGGCGTTCGCCTAATCGCTGGTTGTTGCACGCTCACGAACGGAAAAACGCTTCGGTTCTGCTCGCGAGGAGAGAGCGCCACGTTCGGTCTTCGAGCTTGTACGTGTTGGCGGCGATCAACACAGAGAAAGGGGCTGGAGGGGAGAGGTGAGAGGCCGTGGAGAAAATGCGGGAGAAGCAGTGAAGGTATCCCCGTTGGTAAACGAGGAAAACGTAGCCGGTTGTCTCTACGCTTGCCTTCCGTCGCCGTTGTCTTCATTGTCGTCGCGTTCCGCAGGCTTTCGTTGCGGCCGCGTAACACCAGGAAGTGGAAATGCAATCCGCCACGGCTGGTAAGGAAGGGGGACAGAGGAGGACTTGTGCAACGAGAATCGACGGTCGAAACTTCCGTGGTCGCCAGGCTCGACGACAATGCGCGGCTCGCGACGAGTCATCGATGCATACCGTGAACAGAGTCGCAATTATTCCTTTGGAATCTCTCTACGTCTCTCTCTTTCTCTGTCCAGTCATTGCTTTCTAACTCGTCTACTGTCACTGTCGGTGCCTTACTAGCCGAATCTACTGGTCTCAGCGTTGCTACTAAAGCGTTAACGGAATCGACGGTTTGATGTTCAGATGAAGGAGGGCATGGCTGGTAAATGGTGGTCTTTTCAGTGATAGAGAGTTGAACTTGGAATGTACTTATTAGTGGACTATGGATTCTTATGGAAATTACATTTTTTGAAGTCATTCGTGAAGATGGGAGCAAATTTAGTTATAGTTTATTTTTTCTTTAAGTATATTGTAGAGTTCAGAATAAAATAGAAAACACGTTGCATCAGAGTTTTGTCTTTTGTTGTATTTCACGACGATCTATATAGGATATGGATGCATAAAATCTGCAGTCTAGTTATAATGCGTTTGTCGTATACACGATTATCCGGAACTCAGTGGATTTTAACTATGGAATTTAATTGGTTATACAGGAGTAACCCTGCAATTATACGCGTGTATACCTTAAAAACATAGGCCAAATGTATACATTATAGTAGGCCTTGTGCAACCCTGTATGACGGAGCATGAATTTCCACCGAAAGTCGAGTGTTTCGCTGACAAACAAAGCGCTCGAAATTCGCTTCCGTCGTGAACGGTCCAACAGAAATGAAATTCATCGAAAACCCAGTTTCTCTGCAGGTGTTTCCGTGAACGAAGCCTCCTGGCTAATGGCGTCGATCGCGAATTCCTAGATCCAAGAGTTCCTCGAACCCGTGCAAACACGGCGAGAACGTCCAGCACGTTAACTGCCCTAATGGATTGAAATAGATACGGGGATACTAGACGTCGGGTCAACGAATCAATTTCGTTATTATGCTTCTGCGAACGGGGCCCCTGGTCGATCGATTCGCGGAGCCGTACCTGGCGTTTTTCCGAGCTGGAATCCCTGCGTTTCCCTCGGTCTCGAACGCAGGGAGGATGAACGAAAAAGAAAGAAACGAGATGTGGAAGGTCGACGGTGACGAGGGATGACTAACCAATTGCGCGAAACCTACAATTAGTAACTGGAGCACGATCGGAGAGCTCGGGGCTCGATACCTTAATGCTGTTAAAGCGATGGTTGTATGATAACTGACTCATTCGTTAATATATCGTGCGCAACGTGAACGAGTCGATAATATCGATGCTGGACGAACGGATCTCGATCTTTGTCTGGATTGTGAATGATACCTTCCAGTACAATGCTGGTCTCTCACTCGTTGATCTCTTTTAGAAGGTGTAAATGTGAACGTGGAATATTTTGTTAATGCATAGAATTTAGTAATATATTCTTTTAACTGGAATATGAATGAATTAACCAGGATCAGTAAGATGCTCGAATTAAGAAGATAAACAGAAATTTCAATTCGTAAGGATTATACTGTATTTTGAAATGCAGTGATAATTGCAGGAGAAGTGCAATTGCATTTGTATATTCAGGTCTGTATTTCGAGCGTAACAGGTTTGTTCTACAATTGACAGCAATTTAATACAGAATGATCGTTTGAAATAAAAGTTTCGGGTTTGTTGGATACAAAATGGACAGATGCTAGTGCATCATTGCACTTATGATAGAGTGAGGTCATAGGAAATAAAACCTGCAATTCGTTTCTGTTTTAAATTAAACAGGAAGCACGACTCATCCAAATTGAATGATTCACGCTGTATATTAGACTCGTTCCTAAAACTTCGACGTATTCTGTTCAGAGAATTTTAAGTAAAACATTGACTGGTTTGGAACAGGACGTCGATGCCTTAATCTAAATAGGAGAAGATATCAGTGGAAGATGCCATTAACTGCAGCGTAGATGACTACTATATAAACGGCTAATCTTCTTTAATAAAATTGACCTAAAAATAACACAGACACTTACGAAGGCATCTCGTTCTATACGTTAATTTCTTATCAATTGACAAAATGATAATATCAATCGTCGTTCTAGTTCCTTCGAGTCGTATATGGAATTATTCAAAGAATCCTAAAGGAATAATGAAATCATTTACATTAAAAGAAATCTACTCTACCTAAAAATTCTGTTTCAATTGCTAAGAAGAATTTACGAAGTTACAACAGTATTAATGTTCAGGAAAAAGTGCAATTCTATATTTTTCAATAACGTTCGAGCGGTTAATGTGAAAAGAACCCTGTTCGACGAGACAATTCGTGGATAAGGACGACTCTCAGTGACAGTAATTGGGGCTCGCGGACACAGTTTCTTCGGATGCAAATTCGGAATGCATAAAAGATGAAGAATACTGTGCCGGACAAGATGTAAATGACTGCATGCAAATGTTGACTGATTGCAAAGTTGCCGGCGTTACATTATACTCGGAGTAATCTGGAACAAAGTCGAGGCGCAGAACAACATTACCTCTTCTTTTCACGCTGGCACAAAGGGCAATAACTTCACGCGTCAGTAAAAATCGTGGGCCCTATCATCTAGAAAATCATATTCCCAGAGGTTTTGTCTATTACGATTACAATTCTCTTCCTACGCCCATCTGGACCATTTTAAAATAACGAATGAAATAAAAATACCCCGACCTCGGAATTCCAGATAAATTTGAAATTAAATATTTTGAATTGATTATTTGAAATTCGATATACTGAAAGTATCTACATTTTCTACATCGAATAAATAAATAATTCAATGGAACAATCTCCATGAAATACATGTCTCAAGTGAATAAACTAAATCTGACCGAAAAAAAACCGTCATAGAACGTTCAATACCATTGACTGTTGGAAGAAACTGTGTCCACGGATACCGTAAGAGAAGAAAGCGAATGGGGGAGGGTGGGGGGGGGGAATTTCCCGGTTACAAGAAAAACTTTCCATTCATTGTTCCGCGGACGCTCGAAAGAAGCTCGTCCCGTTCTATTCGCGCCGCCCGGTTCTTTCAGCACGATGGAACCAGAAGTTGCAAAGGAGCCGCGCGATACCTGTTGCACACCAGTGCATCGCGGGGAGCAAACGGGCGGAACCAGGCGGAGGGAGGATACGGCGGTTAATGTTTCGGATAATGCGCCGCCCGAGCGATATCGCGGTCCTTTCTACTGTTTGATAATCGGCCGATCACCACGGCGAAAGAGGAAGTTTCCTCGGGACGCAGTTTGCACCGAATGCTGCGACGTTCTCAACGAACCGCGAACGGGTTCTGATCAATTCGTCCCGCGCGCGTCCCGCCGTCCGCGCCCATCTTGCGACCAAACGAATCGTGTAATCGGTACACCGAGACTGGAGAAAGAGAGTCGTTGAACGATGCAGACTTCGAAATTGTTTCGCGAGATACGGGACACTTGTATTTGGCGCAATAGTAACGACACGGGTTTTGAAATTCTTACAAAACGATTTTATTTACGAATGATTTTCTCCTTCGCGATTTGATACTGGTTTTGTTTAGAATGTTCACCGGAGTTTATTATTCTGGGTTTGGAATGTGCGCTGGAATTGTAGTATAATCGAGTTAGCCAATTCGGGCTATTCTATTTGGATATACAGGAAATCTTCAATTAATGCTTGAAACTCGGGACCGCTTTGGAGCAGTTATCGTAGAGGGACACGATTTAAACGCCTCATGAATCGTGTCACTTTATGAACTTTATTTCGGGCCGAGTCTCCAATATAGAACCCAAAAGGAGCACTGAACCATCCAAATATACAAATCCCTGAATGAACTAAACTAGCGCAGTAGGTCTAAGTTAATTCGGGATAAAGGTAATTCCATATTAGATCAAAATCGAGTTACCTCGGGATACGCCCTTAAACTGTTAACAAACACGCAAACTTTTCAAGCAAACTTAGAAAAGAAAATTGTTTTTTTATGACGAGCAACTGATACCCAAGGACACCCAGAGGTCACCGAAGTCTCATCTACGTAGAAATTGCCTGGATTAAGCGTCCATCTTTCTCCCCCGTATTGGTCAAATACCATTTCTATTACCGTGGATAACAATCGTCAACCGCAATTAGGTAATTGAACCATAAACCCAGACCGTGTACACGCCCTAGAGCTAAGTAAACTCGGCCCAATTAATGATCGATCGGTAAAAAAAAAAAAAAAAGAAACGTACTTGCTGGGCGCGCATCAGCTGCTGCTGCTGAAGGATCTTCGCGTGCTGATGTTGGTCCACTTGATTCGGCGGCACTTGCTGAGGATGGCTACGGCCACCGGCTGCCCCAGCAGGCTGAGGAACTCCTCCAGCGGCGGCTGCTGCGGCTCTTTGCCTCAGACTCTGTTGGGTGAAGTTGATGGTCTGCGACTGCGAGACCGAGCAATAGGTGTCGGTTTGCCCACCAGGCCCGGACTGATTCTGGGTCTGTTGCTGGTTGAAGTACATGCCCTGTTGAGCCGCCACGGACACGCCCGGCTTCAGGTCACCCGTCAGCTGCATATGCTGACCAGCAGACACCTGTGAACAAAGGAAGAATAATCCAGGTTAACATACTTTCAATTCACATGGAGGTAATTTGGACACGAGGTTCTATACCCATATGAGATTGCTTAGATGGGTGCAATATGTAGGCGGATCAAAGAGATGGCGTTTCGTCTGGGGAATCGTCTACCAAGACTTGTCAGTGGGACTGACGGTAGACAACCCCTATCCCAGACGCCTGGGTTGCTCCTCAGCGGAGCCCCTTAAGTAGCCAAAGGCTCTAATTACCGCTTGCGAGAAAACTCGCCACCTAGCGGCCGATACCAAAAACCCAGGCGACTGGGAGAAACGTCTCCACACACCGCCTGTCCCATAAGATTTCCTATAAATAGGTTTAGAAATATAGGATTTGGAATTATCAAGGATATGGGGACTCAACCAAAGGTAGTAGGATGATAGGGATAAAAATGTGGTTTTTGACGTTAAAACTTGGTTTTTACTAGAGCAAGATTTTATTGCTTTGATCTGAGACCAACTTCTGCCTTCTGGAGGATTTAGAAACCTCAGACTAGAGAAGAATGTCGAAGAGCTAACTATATAGTTACAAGAAATCTACCAAAGACCATATGTCAAGGCAGTGTAACCAACAAGCAAACACTTCCAACTGCAATGATCATTCGTCGACCAATTTTCTACGGTGACCAAAGCACTGACATCTGTCGAATCCTTTCGACAGAAGAAACCTGCGGGAGCACGTTTTACCGGCTGTTCCAATTGTCTGCGTTCATTCCACGGCCTCGGCGCGATATGATTCGGTCTGTTACGTATGATCCACGGTCGAAGGTAGATCGGGATCGAGCGGTGCTTTTCAACAGGGCTGTGCAACGGAACAACGACTGCACGCCACGGGCGGCCTGGTATTTGGTTTCTGGCAAAAAATCGGCAGACAAGTGGCGACTATTGTCCTGTCGTCGCTCGTATCGTGGGCAATGATACAAAATGGCTACCGTTCTTCGATATCTCATCCAGCCATGCGAAGGGAAAAAGGGTCGAGGGGTGGGGGAGAAGACTAAGGCACGACCGGGGGGAAGCTTGTACGGCTTCGATGACTCTTGACCCTGGCAATCGAGTCGCGGTAATCTAGTCCGAGTTTCTGTCACCCCTCGCCGGTTCTGTACGAACGAATGAACAGCAACCCCCTTAATGGGTCCTCGTCACGAAGTTACACATTGCGTTAGCAGCATGGAATTCGAATTATTTTATTCTTGTAATAATCATAAATCGATTTCTTTTATGTCTCCGAATCATGTCACATGATTATTAAACCGGTGTAATAATTCTTGTTGTTTGGTCTAGAGGTTGTCTAGATTTCTAAGTAGCAAGTATCACTGTAGCAACGCATGGATACCTAGAAAGTTACACGTTATGGACACTCAAGACTGCATTCCGACTGTTTTTGAGTTGGAAAGCTAGTTTGCATAATATACAGACACTGGTGCCTGTTTTCCTCATGTTTAACTCGATATCCGTAGATTTCGAAATGTTTAAGAGCTCATTTTGAAACAGAGAACTGTTAACGAGGGGTCATTATCCTTGGGAGTATAAATACAAAAGAGACAATATAATAGAAACGCAAGTATATGGTCGGGAAATAGTTGAAATTGTTGCATTCATGAATATAAAGCGAATGGCAATAAACTAACGTAGGTACACTTTGCATTTCAAAATCCATTATACAATAACGCATTTGAATTCACGAAGTTGTCATCGGTAATATTTGTGTTTAACTGTTTTCGGAATATTGCTTGGCGTTCTTTCGTCGTATAATTTATTGACGACAAATCTCTTGCACGTCGACACGATTACCATCGAATCACCGAATGACAAAGACGCAGGTCTTGGTCCCGTCAACGACGGAATTTCTATCGAGAAACGTCGAATAATAAGAGCTCACGACGTTCCTCTGTGGCCTCGGACCACTTATTGCTCTTCTCCGGCCAGTCCTTTGTTCGTACGCACAGTATGGAGATTGCCGATCCGGTGTACCTCGTCAGTCCATTATTATAGCGAGCGACTTATGACCGACGTGGCCGCCTAAGTGTCACAAGGTCCGAAGCGTGTGCACCGACGACGCATAATCGAGAGCCAAGCCTCGATCGTCTTCTATAGATATCAAATTTTCAGTCCATACGATTCTAAATATATCGACGGAAGGTCTCCTCGAATATCAGTGACGCAGTTTCGCAGCGCGAGTCCTCGAAATGTTTCGCCGTTCCGTATGAATCAACGCGAACAAGCGTAAAGTTTAGCAATCGACTGGAAAATTCTCGATCCCCGTTCATGCTAGCCCGATCTCGCCGGACTTTTATAAACCATGATTCCCAAATCTGAGGCTACTTTCTGAATCTGTAACATACCCAATTATCGCCGATCTTAAACGTTAATGACGTTCCGAACAATTAAGGGACTTTGATCCCCTAATTCTCCCAGAGGAAATAAAGATATCAGTAGCCTAACACCATAAATTTAACATCAAATAACTCCTATGCTATTGATCATCTACCCCCAAAATCAGGTATCATTGACTTCAGAATATTAACCTCTATCATTACACAAAGGTCGAAAACAAAATTTAGAATTCCACCTCAGGATCATCCCCAAAAACTGAAAAGGACATCTCTTCAGCCACATCAGGAAGAGGCGCGTGCATGGGACGATCATTCCGTCCGGGCACGTAACGCGCATAGAGTGTCCCGTGCGCAGAAACAAGCGGGGCCGAGTTACGTATTTGCCCTGGGTACCTAGCGGTCGACAACCGTAGAGGGGGCAGGGATTTTAGTTATGACGCCTGGAAGGAGCGAGCTGGTCGGGGCCCGGTCGTGCATAATTAGCCTAAATCACGCCTGGACGTCCCGTGGGGAAGTCCTGCCCGCGACATCTGCATAGCACGTGTCTTGTTATCTCCGGCTCAGGAGGGTTGCCCGGGTAGTTTCGGCGAAACTGGCGAACGGAGAGAGAGAAAGGGAATCCAGAGAGATCCGTTGAGCCTCATCTGCGTTGGTCCTCCGGCGTGCGAGGACCATTCGGCCTGGGGAATACTAATATGGCGAGAGGAACGTCGCCCGGTAGCCTTCTATGGGACCCCAGGAACGACGCTTTAACGCTTCACGGAGCTAGCCGAGACACTCGTTCCCTAACATTCACGTTATTCCCTGGTCTTGTTCCTCTCATTGTTGGCGTGGGAAGATCCCGATGGTTAATGCATTCGCCGCGTACGATGCACTTATTCGCGGGGTATAGGTAGTACACACATGGGTCTGGCCATGGGATTGTTGGGGATGATGTTGCGTGGGCCTGAACGGAAGATTCTTGAGGAATGCTGGTCTAGGTTTGCTGAAGGGGATTGTGAGTTATGGGGTAGGTGCTGTTGGGAATTGGCGGGGAACTGTGGTGGGCCTTGATGATCTGGAGCTGTCAGTCAGGTGATTATATTGTGAGGATGCTCGGGATGATTCGATAAAGGGATCAGAAGGTATTTAAAAGAGGTTGTATTGTTGAATAGAAAATTTCTTTGGGTATAACTGATGTTGTGGAGGTTATATAGATGGAGTTTGACATTGTTAAATAGAATACGTCTTTATAGATGTTATACTAAGTAATGTTCTATAGTATTAAACATTCCCTGTGATCCTGACAGCAGGCTGAAATTAATTGTAAATATTCTAAACTTCCAAATTGTCCTAAAATAAAAAGGATCCCTCAGATTTTTTATTAGAAATCCACGTCATTCAGAATCGAGAACAAAGTGCTCGAAACTCCAATTCCGAGCCTCATTTCGAAGAAGAGGATTTCGTTCTTCGTCCAATACGGTCAAACGTTATCCAGCGGTGCACCGCGCCGTATTTCCTCCGCGCAGAAATTCGGACGTTACGTGGAAGCGAGAATATTCACGCGTCGCAGAGCATACCGTATCGGGGAACAAAGGGGAACACGATATTTCTCGAGGCAGCGCCGTAGGAGAGCGATTTTCATGAATCGAGTATTCGAGGGATTTCCAATCAGGATACAGCGCAATCAAGCACCGTTAATGACGGCGCGCGCTGCCATTAGCGATCCCGGGGCCTGTTCCTCGAAACGATTCCAAGCCCAGCCAACGCCGCTATGAACAACTTATCGATCGTAGAACGTCGGGGCCGGCTGCCATAAACGCGTATCGCAACTCTGCCATGCCTCGCGCTCCCGATATGTGTTCCGCATAATCGCCGTCTTCTGCTACTGTCTAACTACGCACTAGGACAGTTTAGCTACCAGCAGCCGGTGGAAACAGGTTCACGAACCTGTTACACACCGACGCTCTGCGGTGGGTATACATAGACCAAGTGTACGCGAAATTAGAGGTCGTGTCAGGTATTAATTATTAATTACGCGGGCTGTTAGTGCCGTCTCGTGTAATTAATAATATCCATTTGAGCCTGTGATTGCGAGTCCCTGCACGGAACGCCATCGATCTCGAATAGCGCGTATCTCGGATACCTGGCGAGATGGAAATGTCTGCCGTTGATTTAGCCGTTCGTGGATGAATTTAGCGTATGTAATTCCCGGTGCGATCTTAATTCGGGGGAGCGACGTAACGATTTTCTGGAATCTATGATAATCTTCGGATGTCAGATCACCTTTCTGATTATTATTAGAATTATTTTATACATGGTTTTGGATAATTCATATTTTATCTGTATCCCGAAATTATTTCAGATTTTTCGGATGCTTATTAAATAAAAAAATTGGTCTAGATATAAAATACCCAGGGGGGTGACGGAAGTGCTCAAAATAAGGGGGGTCAAGGAGGTTTTAGGCAATCGGTGTTGAGCAATTTTCGATCTTGCAAGATTTTCAATAATTCTGCAGCGTAATAAATTCCTCGCTAGATTCCTCATAAAATAGACATTAACGTTCAAGGATTTTTATGAAAAAGTGTGCTTGTAAATTATAGGAGTCTTTATTAATATAAATAATATTTTTACTTATCGAACACCACG